CGTATAATATTACCTTTCACGTCTTTTTCGATTACACATGCAGGTGGAAAACTTGCTTTTGATATCCAGGATCTCTCTAGTTATGCAAGAACAAGGCATCCACAGAAAGCCTATTGCCCGTAAATTCCACAAATACAATTTTCGTACTAGCCCAAATTCAAGTCTTTGCTACAAGAGCCTTGAAATTCAATAGAACATAAGGTTCGAACGCGTATAATATTAACTTTCACGTCTTTTTCGATTACACATGCAGGTGGACAACTTGCTTTTGATGTCCAGGATCTCTCTAGTTATGCAAGAACAAGGAATCCGCAGAAAGCCTATTGCCCGTAGATTCCACAAATACAATTTTCGTACTAGCCCAAATTCAAGTCTCTGCAACAAGAGCCTTGAAATTCAATAGAACATAAGGTTCGAATGCGTATAATATTAACTTTCACGTCTTTTTCGATTACACATGCAGGTGGAAAACTTGCTTTTCATGTCCACGAACTCTCTAGTTATGCAAGAGCAAGGCATCCACAGAAAGCCTATTGTCAGTAGTTTCCACAAATGCAATTTTGAGACCGTGACAAATTCACGTTTTTGCTACAGGAGCCTTGAAATTCAATAGAACATAAGGTTCGAAACCGCATAATATTAACTTTCACGTCTTTTTCGATTACACATGCAGCTGGAAAAACTTGCTTTTTAAGTCTACGAACTCTCTAGTTATGCAAGAACGAGGCATCAACAGAAAGCCTATTGACCGTAGATTCCAAAAATACATTTTTCAGACCATGACAAATTCAAGTTGTTGCTACAGGGGCCTTGGAAATCAATAGAACACAAGGTTCGAAACAGCATAATATTAACTTTCACGTTTTTTTTTCGATTAAACAGGTGGAAAAACCTCCTGTTTACCTCCACGGACAAGTCTAGTGATACAAGAGTAAGTTATCGGCAGAAAGCCTATTGGTGATAGATTCCAAAAATACAAGTTTCATGCTAGCCCAAACTCAAGTCTCTGCTACAGGTGCCTTGGAATTCAATAGAACATAAGATTCGAAAGCGCATAATATTAGGTTTCACGTCTTTTTCGATTACGCATGCAGGTGGAAAAACTTGCTTTCTATGTCCACGGACTCTCTAGTTTTGCAAGAACGAGGCATCAACAGAAGACCTATTGACTTTAGATTCCAAAAACACAATTTTCAGACCGTGACAAATTCAAGTTTTTGCTACAGGGGCCTTAAAATTCAATAGAACACAAGGTTCGAAACAGCATAATATTAACTTTCACGTTTTTTTCGATTACACAGGTGGAAAAACCTGCCGTTTACCTCCATGGACAAGTCTAGTGATGCACGAGTAAGGCATCGACAGAAAGCCTATTTGCGGTAGATTCCAAAAATACAATTTTTATACTAGCCCAAATTCAAGTCTCTGCTACAAGAGCCTTGAAATTCAATAGAACATCAGGTTCGAATGCGTATAATATTAACTTTCACGTCTTTTTCGATTACACATGCAGGTGGAAAACTTGCTTTTCATGTCCAGGAACTCTCTAGTTATGCAAGAACAAGGCATCGACAGAAAGTAGATTCCACAAATGCAATTTTGACACCGTCACAAATTCACGCTTTTGCTACAGGAGCTTTGAAATTCAATAGAACATAAGGTTCGAAAGCGCATAATATTAACTTTCACGTCTTTTTCGATTACACATGCAGCTGGAAGAACTTGCTTTTTACGTCCACAAACTCTCCAGTTATGCAAGAACGAGGCATCAACAGAAAGCCTATTGACTGTAGATTCCAAAAATACAATTTTCAGAACGTGACAAATTCAAGTTTTTGCTACAGGGCCCTTACAATTCAATAGAACACAAGGTTCGAAACAGCATAATAATAACTTTCACCTTTTTTTAGATTACAAAGGTGAAAAACCTCCCGATTACCTCCACGTACAAGTCTAGTGATGCACGAGTAAGGCTTCGGCAGGAAGCCTATTGCTGATAGATTCGAAAAATACAAGTTTCATGCTAGCGCAAATTCAAATCTCTACTACAGGTTCCTTGGAATTCAATAGAACATAAGATTCGAAAGCGCATAATGTTAGGTTTCACGTCTATTTCGATTACGCATGCAGGTGGAAAAACTTGCTTTCTATGTCCACGGACTCTCTAGTTTTGCAAGAACGAGGCATCAACAGAAAACCTATTGGCTTTAGATTCCAAAAACACAATTTTCAGACCGTGACAAATTCAAGTTTTTGCTACAGGGGCCTTAAAATTTAATAGAACACAAGGTTCGAAACCGCATAATATTAACTTTCACGTTTTTTTCGATTACACAGGTGGAAAAACCTCCCGATTACCTCCTCGGACAAGTCTAATGATGCACGAGTAAGCCATCGGAAGAAAGCCTATTGGTTATAGATTCCAAAAATACAATTTTCATGCCAGGCCAAATTCACGTCTCTGCTACAGGGGCCCTGGAATTCAATAGAACATAAGATTCGAAAGCGCATAATATTAACTTTCACGTTTTTTTCGATTACACAGGTGGAAAAACCTCCCGATTACCTCCTCGGACAAGTCTAATGATGCACGAGTAAGCCATCGGAAGAAAGCCTATTGGTTATAGATTCCAAAAATACAATTTTCATGCCAGGCCAAATTCACGTCTCTGCTACAGGGGCCCTGGAATTCAATAGAACATAAGATTCGAAAGCGCATAATATTAACTTTCACGTTTTTTTCGATTACACAGGTGGAAAAACCTCCCGATTACCTCCTCGGACAAGTCTAATGATGCACGAGTAAGCCATCGGAAGAAAGCCTATTGGTTATAGATTCCAAAAATACAATTTTCATGCCAGGCCAAATTCACGTCTCTGCTACAGGGGCCCTGGAATTCAATAGAACATAAGATTCGAAAGCGCATAATATTAACTTTCACGTTTTTTTCGATTACACAGGTGGAAAAACCTCCCGATTACCTCCTCGGACAAGTCTAATGATGCACGAGTAAGCCATCGGAAGAAAGCCTATTGGTTATAGATTCCAAAAATACAATTTTCATGCCAGGCCAAATTCACGTCTCTGCTACAGGGGCCCTGGAATTCAATAGAACATAAGATTCGAAAGCGCATAATATTAACTTTCACGTCTTTTTTGATTACACATGCAGCTGGAAAAACTTGCTTTTTAGGTCCACAAGCTCTGTAGTTATGCAAGAACGAGGCATCAACAGAAAGCCTATTGACTGTAGATTCCAAAAATAGAATTTGCAGAACGTGACAAATTAAAGTTTTTGCCTTAAAATTCAATAGAACACAAGGTTTGAAGCAGCATAATAATAACTGTCACGTTTTTTTAGATTACAAAGGTGGAAAAACCTCCCGATTACCTCCACGGACAAGTCTAGTGATGCACGAGTAAGGCATCGGCAGAAAGCCTATTGGTGGTAGATTCCAAAAATACAATTTCCATGCTAGCGCAAATTCAAGTCTCTGCTACAGGTGCCTTGGAATTCAATAGAACATAAGATTCGAAAGCGCATAATATTAAGTTTCACGTCTTTTTCGATTACGCATCCAGGTGGAAAAACGTACATTATATGTCCACAGACTCTCTAGTTTTGCAAGAACGAGGCATCAACAGAAAGCCTCTTGTCCGTAGATTTTACAAATCCAATTTTGAGACCGTGACAAATTCACGTTTTTGCTACAGGAGCTTTGAAATTCAATAGAACACAAGGTTCGAAACAGCATAATATTAACTTTCACGTTTTTTTTCCGATTACACAGGTGGAAAAACCTGCCGTTTACCTCCACGGACAAGTCTAGTGATGCACGAGTACGACATCGGCAGAAAGTCTGTTGGTCATAGATTCCAAAAATACAATTTTCATACTAGCCCAAATTCAAGTCTCTGCTACAAGAGCCTTGAAATTCAATAGAACATAAGGTTCGAATGCGTGTAATATTAACTTTCACGTCTTTTTCGATTACACATGCAGGTGGAAAACTTGCTCTTCATGTCCGGGAACTCTCTAGTTATGCAAGAACAAGGCATCAACAGAAAGCCTATTGTCCGTAGATTCCACAACTACAATTTTGAGACCGTGAAAAATTCAAGTTTTTGCTACAAGAGCCTTGAAATTCAATAGAACATAAGGTTCGAACGCGTATAATATTAACTTTGACGTCTTTTTCGATTACACATGCAGGTGGAAAACTTGCTTTTCATGTCCAGGATCTCTCTAGTTATGCAAGAACAAGGCATCCACAGAAAGCCTATTGACTGTAGATTCCAAAAATACATTTTTCAGACCGTGACAAATTCAAGTTGTTGCTACAGGGGCCTTAAAATTCAATAGAACACAAGGTTCGAAACAGCATAATATTAACTTTCACGTTTTTTTCGATTACACAGGTGGAAAAAACTCCCGTTTACCTCCACGGGCAACTATAGTGATGCACGAGTAAGGCATCGGCAGAAAGCCTATTGTGATAGATTCCAAAAACACAATTCTCATGCTAGCCCAAATTCATGTCTCTGCTACAGGAGCCTTGGAATTCAATAGAACATAAGATTCGAGAATGCATAATATTAAGTTTCACGTCTTTTTCGATTACACATGCAGCTGGAAAAACCTGCTTTTTATGTCCACTGAGGTTTAGTGATGCAAGAATAAGGCATCGACAGAAAGCCCATCGACTGTAGATTACAGATATAAAATTTTCAGAACGTAATAAATTCAAGTTTCCGCTAAAGAGCCTTGAGATTCAATAGAAGATAAGGTTCGTAAACGGAAATATTAATTTTCACGTCTTTTCCGATTACACATGAAGCTGAAAAAGCTTCCATTTTATCTCCACGGACAAGCCTAGTGATGCACGAGTAATGCACCGACAGAACGCCCATGGACAGTAGATTCCAAAAATTCAATTCTCAGACTGGCCCAAATTCAATTAGTCTCTGCTACAGTAGCCTTGATATCGACGCTAAGGACATGGTTCCTGACGTTGAGGACAAGGTTCCTGACGCTGAGGACAAGGCTCCTGACGCTGAGGACAAGGTTCCTGACGCTGATGACAAGGTTCCTGACGCGAGGACAAGGTTCCTGACGCGAGGACAAGGTCTCTGACGCTGACAACAAGGTTCTTGACGCTGAGAACAAGGTTTCTAACGCAGAGGACAAGGTTCCTGACGCTGAGGACAAGGTTCCTGACGCTGAGGACAAGGTTCCTGACAAAAGGACAAGGTTCCTGACAAGAGGAGACGGTTCCTGACGCGGCGGACAAGGTTCCTGCCGCTGAAGACAAGGTTCCAGACGCTGAGGACAAGGTCCCAGACGCTGAGGACAAGGTTCCTGACGCTGAGAACAAGGCTCTTGACGCAGAGGACAAGGTTTCCAACGCTGAGGACAAGGTTCCTGCCGCTTAGGACAAGGTTCATGACGCTGAGGACAATGTTCCTGACGCTGAGGACAAGGATCTTGACGCGGACGACAAGGTTTCTAACGCTGAGGAAAAGGTTCGTGACGCTGAGGAAAAGGATCCTGACGCGAGGACAAGGTTCCAGACGCTCAGGACAAGGTTCCAGACGCTCAGGACAAGGTTCCAGACGCTGAGGACAAGGTTCTTGACGCTGAGGACAAGGTTTCTAACGCTGAGGAAAAGGTTCGTGACGCTGAGAACAAGGATCCTTACGCTGAGGACAAGGTTCCTGACGCGAGGACAAGCTTCCTGAGGCGAGGACAAGGTTCCTGACGCTGAGGACAAGGTTCCTGACGCTGAGGACAAGGTTCTTGACGCTGAGGACAAGATTCTTGACGCTGAGGAGACGGTTTCTAACGCAGAGGAAAAGGTTCGTGACGCTGAGGACAAGGCTCCTGACGCTGAGGGCAAGGCTCCTGACGCCCGGACGAGGTTCCTGATGCGAGGACAAGGTTCTTGATGCTGAGGATAAGGTTCCTGACAAGAGGACAAGGTTCCTGACGCGAGGACAAGGTCCCTGGCGCTGAGGACAAATTCCTGCCGCTGAGGACAAGGTTTCTAAGCTGAGGAAAAGGATGTTGACGCCGAGGACAAGGCTCCTGACGCTGAGGAGAAGGGTCCTGACGCGAGGACAAGGTTCCAGACGCTGACGACAAGGTTCCTGACGCTGAGGACAAGGTTCTTGACGCGAGGACAAGGTTCCTGACACTGAGGACAAGCTTCTTGACGCTGAGGACAAGGTTTCTAACGCTGAGGAAAAGGTTCGTGACACTGAGGACAAGGCTCCCGACGCTGAGGACAAGCTTCCTGACGCTGAGGACAAGGTTCCAGACGCTGAGGACAAGGTTCCTGACGATGAGGATAAGGTTCTTGACGCTGAGGACAAGCTTTCTAACGCTGAGGAAAAGGTTCGTGACGCTGTGGACAAGGCTCGTGACGCTGAGGACAAGGTTCCTGACGCGAAGCCAAGGTTCCTGGCGCGAGGACAAGGTTCCAGACGCTGAGGACAAGGTTCCTGACGCTGAGGACAAGATTCTTGACGCTGAGGACGCTGAGGACAAGGCTCCTGACGCTGAGGGCAAGGCTCCTGACGCCCGGACAAGGTTCCTGATGCGAGGACAAGGTTCTTGATGCTGAGGATAAGGTTCCTGACAAGAGGACAAGGTTCCTGACGCGAGGACAAGGTCCCTGGCGCTGAGGACAAATTCCTGCCGCTGAGGACAAGGTTTCTAACGCTGAGGAAAAGGATGTTGACGCCGAGGACAAGGCTCCTGACGCTGAGGAGAAGGGTCCTGACGCGAGGACAAGGTTCCAGACGCTGACGACAAGGTTCCTGACGCTGAGGACAAGGTTCTTGACGCTGAGGACAAGGTTCCTGACGCTGAGGACAAGCTTCCAGACGCTGAGGACAAGGTTCCTGACGCTGAGGACAAGGTTCCTGACGCTAGGACAAGGTTCTTGACGGAGGACAAGGTTCCTGACGCTGAGGACAAGGTTCCTGACGCGAGGACAAGGTTCCTGACGCGAGGACAAGGTTCCCGACGCTGAGGACAAGGTTCCTGACGCTGAGGACAAGGTTCCTGACGCTGAGGACAAGGTTCCTGACGCTGAGGACAAGGTTCCTGACGCTGAGGACAAGTTCTGACGCTGAGGACAAGGTTTT